TACAGTACTGCTCAGAAGTAACCTAATGAAAAACGCGTTCTGAACGCGTTCGAGAACGCGTTCCGGACGCGTTCTAGAACGCGTTCCAGATGCGTTCGAGAACGCGTTCCAGACGCGTTCGAGAACGCGTTCCAGACGCGTTCTAGAACGCGTTCTAGACGCGTTCGAGAACGCGTTCCAGACGCGTTCACAACGCGTTCCGCGAGACCTTCCGAACGCGTTCTAGAAAGGGTTTCTTTTTCAGAACAATTGAATCGTAATCAGTTCGACAATACTCGGAAATTATCGCGAATTTCCGATTTATAGCATTCCAGAGAAACACATTTTACAAATATGGCAAAGCTTTCTTTGTATGCAAGAAAAGGAGTGATTTCTTTAAAATCCGCCGAAAATTCAAACAAAAAAATACAAGAAGTTCTACTGGAGGAAGGAATTAACACTTCAATCACAGCAATTTCGCTCTTTCTTTCGCGATATCGAAAGACTGGTCGCCTCAACGATGCTCGTCGAAGTGGCCGAAAGCCGAAATTAAGACAAGAACATGTCGATTACATGGACGAAAAGATGAAGGAAAATGACGAATTGACTTCACGGGAATTGAAAGAAAAGGTTGCCAAAGATTGCGACATGGATGTGTCAACAGCGACAATTCGACGAGCAAGGCGAAAATTAGGCTGGAAGAAAGAGAATGCGAGGTATTGCCAGTTCGTACGTGAACCCAACAAGATGAAACGACTGGCTTTCTGTTTGAAGGCCTTACGTGAGAAGGAAAAGTTCGAAAACATTATCTTCACAGACGAAACCAGCGTGCAAATCGAACAACATGCTAGGATTTGCTTTCGGAAAGATGGAAGTCAACCAAAGCGCAAAGGCCGGCCAAAGCATCCACTGAAGGTTCGTATTTCGCTCAATGTAATGTTGGGTTCTTTGTCGTTTTCTATAAACTACGTATAATGTAAACAATACGAAAAAGAGTATAGGTAGAATATATTATATAAACTGATAAACTTTTTAAAACGGACTGCAAAACAAAGATGCTAAATCCTGAATATATATATATCTATATATATTTGAATATGTCCAAAGTCAAAATAGATTTTTCTGCTCATATTAATATTTTGTTGGCATCTCACTCAATTTAATGGTTGACAGTTTTGTAGATTGAAATGATTGAGTGGAAAAATGCTATATACAATTATTAGACAGGAATCAAACCTGTGGCCCTGTGATTCCGGTGTCACAGCGGATTTGGACTCCCCGCGGATATGGACCCCCCGGTACATATCCGCTAGCGGATTCGGACCCCTACGGTACATATCCGCTAGCTGATATGTACCCCCTTCCGCGGAATTGGACCCCCTAAAATTCACAGAAAGAAGAAATTTTTCGATTTAAGAATTAATTATACGAGTAGTTGTGGACTATCTATGATGAAATTATAGATAATATACATATTCTCGAGATCAAAATAACCAGCTTCGCCTAAAAATCTAACGATACTAAAGTAATCCCAAACTGGGATCAAACATTTACGAAAGGTTTGCACAATATTTATTAGCTAATAACAATATAATAACAAATTTATTAACAATATCATGTGATTAGCATGAAAGTCTCAACGTTCATTTAAAGTTTCAAGCGTTTTGTGCTGGGTGATGGAAGTTCACATCCTCTGCAGAGTCACTCGCCTTCAGGTTCGTTCTCAGTACATGTTCACAAATCATGTGAAACCAGTTGTCACACAATTCACATTGGTAGAGCAGATAGCAATTCCAAGGAGTAAAATACTTGTGAAGGCTTCATGCACTTCCCGCACATTCCAAAATCATAGAAATAAACCCATGTTGCAGAAAAATTATAAATCATAAACTTTGACGGAATTCTTTAATCTAAAAATCTAAGCTTTGATGGAATTTTTTAATCTAAAAATCTTCGTACTGTTTTTTACAATACGATACAATGATAAAATACGCGAGGGGTCCAAATTCGTGAGGGGGGTCCAAATCCGCTAGCGAATAAAGACCCCCATAGGCCCATATTCGCTAGCGGATATGGACTCCCCGGTCCATATTCGCTAGCGGATTTGGACCAGGGGGTCCATTTTGAGAGGGGTCCAAATCTGCTGGGACACCGGGGCAGCGCTCTAACCAACTGAGCTGAAAGAGGCCAGTTGCTGAGCTCTAGCCACAATTTCACAATTTCATGTAATAAACCTGGTTTACTTCATAAGATTTTATTCACTACTCGTATGACAAGCAATGCTTGCCACACTCATCAGGTGAATTTAAAATCAATTTGTTGGCATCTCACTCAAATTAATGGTTCAGGAATTGAACCTGCGGAAAAGTTTCCCAAGAGAAGCCGAGGCAAATTGTTTAACATTTTGTTTTGTTTTTTAAAAGGTTCATGTTTGGGGTGGAATATCATGCAAAGGAGCAACTCAAGTTTGCATCTTCACTGGATGCATGGAAAGCATGGGGTATCAAAAAATACTACAGAGAAATTTGCTGCCGTTCATCAAAGATAATTATCCTGAAGGCCACCGTATGTGGCAAGACAATGACCCCAAGCACACCAGCAATTCAACCAAACAATTTATGAAGGACAACGGAATTAACCATTGGGTCACACCTCCTGAATCTCCGGTTAGTTATTTTAACTTATTACTGACCACTCGATTTTATATTATTTCTATAATGCAAGATGATTTTACTTTTCAAAGAAATTTTACTTTGTCTTCTTGAAAGTTTTGGGGCATAATAATGCTGAATAATAACCCAAGGATTTGAAACACACCCTCAGGTCCCCCCAACTTGTTGACAAAATTTGAAAAATCTTCATGGATAGTCTTTGAAATTGATGAAATCTTGTTCGAAAACCTCCTCAACTGGAAAATAAGTAGGTTAAAAACCTCAAATTTAGGATATAAGTCATATATTTGCTCATTGGGCCCTGTACTCCCTTGGGTAAATATATGACTTATATCTAGAGGTGCACCGGATAGTGATTTTTACTATCCAGCTGAATACCGGATTTGCCGGATATCTGAAAAAAATCCGGCCGGATACTGGATATTTTATCAATTTGAATACTTGACATATAATATATATTATAAGGATTTTTCTCATCCATGTATTACTGCAGAAGATATTTTTTTAAAATTTTTGAGTAAATAATCAATTATGGCTATCTACAAATTTGGTTTTAACTTTTTCCACCGTTCACATGTTCCAAATGTTTTTGAGCGATGGGATTTAGTATGGCTTCTTGCGCCAAACGCTGTGAATAGGTCATTAGTTCAATTAATTATATCAGTGGCTAGCTTTTTCACATATCTTTTAAAAAAACCCGATTTAATTGATTTTTAAAGGTTTTGCCACGTTAATGGGTTAATCCTCTTGTTCACATGTAGTTATTATTTTATAGGATTTGAATCCAATTGAAAATATTTGGGCAAACCTCAAGCATTACTTAAGAAAGTTAGCAAAGCCCAAAAATAAGGAAGAGCTTATCAATGGAATAAAGGCATACTGGAGAGAACTGACCAAAGAGACATGTCAAAAATATATTAAACATTTGTATAAAGTTGTACCAGCGGTTATTGCATGCGAAGGTGGTCCTTCTGGTTATTAAATAATAATTTGTGTCTTTATACTAAAAAAAACATCTTGTTGTACTGTCGATTTATCCGACCTTTTTATGGCAGAATAATTTAGTGTGAGTAGAAATTATCACCTTGTAATCCTTGTAATTTTATCAGGGTTTAGGGCTTTTTAGGCAATATTTTATCCAATATAATACCAAATTGAATGGCCCTGTGAATATATTTGGAACACTGACAATCACAACATTTAACCCATTGAGTTGCATTGCGCCCTGATGCGCCCTACTTTATTATTTTACTCTGTCTAACGCCAGATTATTTTACTCTGTCTAACGCCAGACGATTTTACTCGTCAAGGGGAGAGCGCTGGCGCTTAATGAGTTAACTGGCCTATCTGCCCATGTGTCTAGTTAACCCATTGAGTTGCATTGCTCCCTGATGCGTCCTACTTTATTATTTTACTCTGTCTAACGCCAGACGATTTTACTCGTCAAGGGGAGAGCGCTAGCGCTTAATGGGTTAATACTTATATTAAACAAGGAATTCATGTATACATTGTACTTACCCTTTTTTGAAACTAATTTATTCGAGATAAATTACTATAAAATCGGTTTTAAATTAGGTAAAATTAAATAATTTTATTGCAAGGAATTTTTTTCAAAAATAAGGAAAATTTGAACGGCTGGAAGGAAATTATGTTTTTTGAAAATGGAAGCACTGCTTGAGTATAATAACACAGAGGAGATAATGTGATAATAGCCAGATAATTTAGCCAGATTAGGCATAATGCAACATGTACAATTTATATAACTATTATGGTTTGTAAAAAAATGCGACACACCAAGTTGAGTTAGTTGACCAAGAGACAGAGTTGAAGTTTCGTGATGTTGGATTGCTGGTGAGTCATTCGATGTTTGCTTGCCATTAAATTATATACTCAAAACCATTTTAAAAAATGCCAAAATATGTTGAAATGCTGTTTACTATAAAGAGCAGAGCCCAACAAATAACTTTTAAGCCAAACATAATAAAAGTAAAAATTTTATTAGCTAACGTTTCGTTGTTTACAATACAACATCTTCAGAGCAATCTAAATTAATTTACAGGGTATGGTATATATATTTACAAAATAACGGTTTAATTTAATTACAAAAACGGTTACATGGTTTGAAAGAACAAAGAATAGAAATCGGTTAGATCAACTGGCACTTTGGTTGATAGTTTTCTTAACTGGTTAATTAAGGCACAATCATGGTCTTCCCTTGACTAGCAAATTTTCTTTGTTAACATTCACACACACTTTCAAAAAAATAGTAACTTGGATGTTTGTTTCAAATATATTTTACAATAAGGAAATATGGAAAAATATTACAATTGAGTATCTAGATACATAAAGTATGTCAACCACCTAAGTTTATCCTACATGAGTTACATCTGTTTATAATAAGTACATTAATATTTAAAACCTAAGGGAGTATTATGTAAATATTTATACAGCAGTTTCAGGTGCAATATAACCCAGTTTCAAGATGTAATTGTAACCCTTCATCTCTTTCTGTCGGATATGATCTAGTCATCACGAAAAATCATAAAATTGTTAGTCGTGATCAAACTTTAAATTCAGTTGTCGATGTTTCTGATATAATTGCATGAATTAGCGGCCACGCTTAAATGTCAAAAACAACTAAATATTGCTATCAAGCGTGAGGTGGTTGTGTATCACAGGTCTGAAACTGCTGTAAACAGTATTGTTCACTTTGTCTGCATTCTAAGTTTTCTAATCGATCCATCGATTGCTTTTCGGCATGCAGACCATGCAATTTTGCTATCTACTGCACCATGCTTTTTGAAAGTCATTTCTCTTATTTGTCCTAGTCGAGGATCTTTCTCTAAGGCTTCTTTGTTCCATGCTCCAGTGCAATTTGCATTCAAGAGCTCAGCTTTATTAAAAACTGAAAATACCAAATTCTTGGCATAATATGACATTGAGGAACTTTTAGCGAACACCTCGTCAAACAGATTAACCGGTATTGGGCTGGTGATTGAGCAGATGACGTGGAGTAACTGACAGGTGTTGACTGTTGTGTAGAAGGATTGGCAGGTGTTGACTGTTGTGTAGGAAGGATTGGCAGGTGTTGACTGGCTGGCAGATTTCAATAGACCAGCAGGTACTGAATGATGTACAGTCGGAGTGATTGGAGATTGGTTGGATGGGGTTGCTATCTTGCTTAAGTATATGGTGCTGGTTTCCATA